ATAGCTCGACTCCTTATCAGCCAGCCAGGGTGAAAGGTATCTATTTAGATTTTACAACCCCCAGTATGCCCAAATATGGGACGAGCCGAAGGACAGAGAATGGAAGTAATGATCTTCCTCCCATAGGGCTGGCTGATAAGGAGTCGAGCTATATGTATATATCTTTGTACAGGAGTTACTTTTTTGTCTCACAATGCAAATTTAGGCCATACAGTATTTACTGCAGAACACCCTTTTCTGTGCATCTTGGCATGTTTTTAAAGTTTGTCATGCAGGATTTGGAGATGTGTGCTTTAATCTGCTCATTGACTTTAGTGGTGCAAATTAAATGGTCTTACTCCAAATTGCAGCACTCAAGGTGACATTCTCAAACATCTGTGGCAGCTGGTAGAGAAAAGCCTTGATAATACTGTATATAATAAAGGTGTAGAGAACACAACTGTGATTCCAGGTGGTGGAAATGCCCCTGCATTATTCTGTACAATATTGGTGGGTGAGCAGACACCAATAGCTGGCAGTTTCAATTTTAGGTCAGACCAAAATGGATAATTATTTAGGAGTCATTTTCAGCCTTAGCTCAGTGATCTCAATTGCAGCCTGCAGACTAACAATTTAGTTCTGCTATATTCCAGTTGTCTCCCAAATAAATACATGGGTTGCTAAAATTGATTATTGGATACATGCACACTGCTTCATCCTATTAACCATGAGGTAAGCTCAGAAATGAAGATTTGATCCACATTTCCAATTCACTGCCTGCACTTCTGTGTCTGGTTGTTTAACTAGCACTGTATCTAAAACTACAGTAATTGACGGGCAGTTCCAGACCAGTTCAAAATAACAGGGCACTCTTGAGCTGCTTACAGCATATTTTTTTCTGACTCCTGCTCCTCATTCACAAATGAGCTGTTGTGTGTCTCCCAAACACCTTATATTTTTATATTTGCTTATTTCCACAAAACTGAAGGAAGGGATGAGGCATCATTATTTGAATGAACCTGTGTTTGAATCAGCACTTCTTTTTTAACAACATGCGTTCCTCCAATACGGCAGTCTATGGTTAGGAATGTTTAAGTCAAACTGATTGTGTGTGTGTGTGTGTGTGTGTGTGTGTGTGTGATGTCAAAGCAAATAATGTGCCCAAAAGTGTGTCCAAATAATTCAGCTCCTTCCATATTTGCGCATACCGGGTGCTTTGACATAACACTTAATTATTTCCTTGGCTCAGCTGATAAGGGAGGAGAGCTTGTGGCTTAGAGGCTAATGCAATTGCCTTACATGTTAAAACAGCCCAGGTTCAAATCCCAGTAAGAGTATGGCTAGCTGATGAGAGCTAAATAGCTTGAAATAGATCTATATTAGTTTTGTGTGTGTGTGTTTGTGTGTGTATGTGTGTGTATGTGTGTGTTTGTTTGTTTGTTCCTAGGGTGGAGCTGAAAGGCTGTAGTTCAAAATATTTACGGAACACCAGACTGAAGCCAGCTGTTTCAGAAATTATGGAACACATTCAATTAATCCAATTAAAATGCTATTCTTTTCTAAAACTTCTTTATTAGGCGAATTGGTTTACTAAGCTGACACCTTTTGGGGTAAGCTGGTGCCAAAAAGCAGTTAAGAAGGGATACATCCTGTCCCCTCATCTGAAGGGATGTCTATATCTGGTTCCTGTTTTGCATTTTAAAATTCCTTTTTTGTTAATTTTACTTTTGACCTCAGATGAAAAATTGTTCTGCTAAAGAAGCATAAAAGTTTCTATGGTTAATTTAGGGGGAAAAGAAAGTTATGTCCTTATTCCTAGGATTCTATAGCCTCCTTTTTAATTTAAGCTACATGATTATTTTTAAATTCTATCTTCATTAATGTAGGTAATCTCTATATAAATAAAAGTGAAATGCTACTTACGCATCATCATGAAATCTCCAGAACCGTAAAGCCTACAAACTTGAAATTTGCCACGTATATTCCTCTTAGCTTCTAGGTACTTGCTAACAAAGGATGTTTTGAAATGACCATCAGATCATTAGTATTTTTATATTATTCTTAACATGCTCCAATGCTAAGGAATTAGATGTTCTACTCCTCCTCCCAACCTGAAAATAACTCTGTTCCAACTGCCACTTGGGCATGGGCGTGGCCAGCAGGTGACTCATCCCGCCTGCAGGCTGGGAGTTTAGACATTCTACTCCCCCTCCCCTCCTGAAAAAACTCTCTGATGTTAAAGAGTTAGACTGAGGGAGAGAAGGGGATGAGATAGGAGAGGCCTTTGTGGGGCAAGCCTGAGGGAGAGAAGGGGATTGGAGAGGAGAGGTTTCTGTGGGGGCAAACCTGAGGGAGAGAAGCTGTGTCAATTTATCAAGCCCGATCATATAATTTCATAGTGGAGCACAGGTGTCCAACTAGTTACTATATATATGGTCCAAGTTAATTAGAGATTAATCAGGTTGCAAGCTACAACAGGTTACAAATGCCTTTTTTCTAGCTCTTCTACTAACATATTTTGTACATTTAGCTTTATTTTCAGGAACATTTTATTTCCAGATTAAGTATGAAAAATAATAAGGAAAAGCTCTCCTGCTGACTCCAATTGGATACAGAAATCAGAGTAAAAGCTCAAGAATACTCAGTATAAAGTATTTTAAGAAAAGGAAAGGACATTCATTATGTTGCTTTGGATGGGAAGCAAAATATAATCATTTCCAAGCAGAGACTAAGGAAATTGCCTGTCCCTTGAAACCCAGATTGACTTAAGGAAACTTGACCTATGCAAATTGCTTAATATTTGAACAGAAATATAAGTGTTTTAAAAAGAAATCCTTACCACAATCTTGATTGACCATAGCAAAGTCGGGCCTGGGTTAGTGGTGGGATTCAAATAATTTAACAACCGGTTCTCTGTTCTAATGATTTCTTCCAACAACCAGTTCACCAAACTGCTCAGAAAGTTAACAACCGGTTCTCCCGAAGTGGTGTGAACTGGCTGAATCCCACCATTGGCCTGGATGTTGTATAACCAAAATAGTTCCTGTCAAGTTACCTACAGGTGATGTTCAGCTTATATAACAATGTTGTACCCACCATTAGAAGTTACAACTGTGCTTTAAAAAATGAGTTATGATCATAGCAGCACACACACACACACACACACACACACACACCCCGTGATGTGGTCAGATCCGGCCTACAGGGCTGTCTTGGTCCACCCAGTGTGAAGAAGAAAGATCAGGCCAGTGTAACTTCAGCCTGGTCTACCCAGTGCAAAGAGGAAACATGCTAGCAGTTTGGGAAGTGACATCAAGCTGGCCATGCCCATCAAGTCAGACACACATGCCTTGCCCCCCAGGGGTCAACTATAGTCCTGATGCAGCCCTCAATGAAATTGAGT